GTATCAAGGAATTTGCATCAAATTGTGTAAAAAAAAGGAATGAAGTTCACAAAAAATTTGAAATATTGACAGTGGCATAAGATGATTGTACTCTTAGTCAAAAATATGTTCACAAGTAGTGAAATCTCTTCACAGAAGGTCGAGAAGATAGAATATAATAGTTTATTAACTACGTTACATATTCATGTTTGTAGCAGGTCAGGTGTATAGGCATTCTTAAATAAACATATAAAACAAAGAAGTAAATTGTAAAAATGTAAAAATATTAAGCAACGCAGGGATTGCCTACGTACATATATAAACGAATAAATATTCACCTATGATAATAGGGGTATTTACAGACTACCACAGTACAATCGATACCGGTGAGTATGGTTCATCTCGAGTTGACATAGCTGACGTGAACTGTCCTAAAATGATCGTAGTTTCTCTAGCAACTGATCATTTTTTCTGATTTCCAGTCGCGTCTGATAAATATATAATGTTGATAACGGCATAATACGTAATATTTTGAATAATGGTCTACAGTGCGCCCGGAAACCTGCACTTGCCAGTATTCTTACAAGTTTTTTTCTGTAGTTTGAAAATTCTCATTGAACCAAGAGAGTTTCCCCAAAGAACGGTACAACACCGTGCTAATGTGTGAGTGGAATAATGCAAAATACGTTATTTTTAGAATATCACCGCTTGTGATGTTTGGAAGTTGACAAAGGATATATATATATATATAGCACTAGATAGTTTTTTTTGCGAGAAGATCTGTATGTTGATGCCATGATAAAGTACTGTCGAGAGTAATGCCAAGAGATTTTACACTTTTGTTAGCTGAACCTACAGTGGTGAACTCAAGATTTTGAGTTTTGTTAGTATTCAACTTCAATGTATTTGATAGAAATCAAGTGTTGGCTTGCTATTCATTTTCTTTTGGCTAAAAACAAAACCACAAAAATAATAATAATAATAATAATGATAATAATTTATTAGTTCTTCAGATTATGTCTAGCATAATATAGAACAAGTCAGCATAGTACGGTATCAGTATACGATAAATTAATATTGAAAAAATTTTACCCAAATTGTAGTCAAATTTATATATGACTAAGTGTATGACAACATGTAAAAGGACTCAATATAATAATATTGGTAGTTAGTTATTTGTAATTGATTCGTATTACTATTTCATACATAATACAGAACAAATCAGGTGTCAGGAACAGTTTGTCCACAGTTTTCGATTATACAAACAAGAGACTCAACTTATAAACAGATTACAAATCATACATAAAAACATTTAAAAGCAATAAAAACAAGTGGTTTGATAAAATATAAAATATGAAAATACGCATGCATACATAAAATATAAAATCAGTTAAAATCTGTGTCTCCCAAATACTCACTTATAGAGTAGTAAGCTTTTCCTAATAATATATTTTTGACTACTATTTTAAATTTATCCAAAGGAAGATCTTTGTAGCAGTTTGGTAGATGATTAAACAAAGTTATTGTAATGTATTTTGGGCAACGTTCAGTTTCCCAGCGCTTTGAAAGAGGCCAACTCTGTTTTGGCATATATCAGTATATGCATGACATACAAAGAATTGAAAGTCAGGATTTTCAGCTGTACAAATATATTTTTACAGCTTACTCTCCTGGCCACTCCAACGATATTTCTAACGGCTCTTTGCTGGAGTTTGAGTATCCTATCGGCCTCCTGTGATACTCCCCATACTATGATTCCATATGTCACTACTGACTGAAAGTGTGCAAAATATATTATCATCAGTACTGATTTTTCGACGGTCTTCCTGAGTTGGTACAGGAGATAACACTTTGAAGCTAGTTTTTTGCACATTTCATTTATATGTGTAGTCCATGTACAGCGTTTATTCACATACGGCCCAAGGAACTTCGTTGAAGGTGCTTGAGTGATAGATCTGCCGTTAGATTTTAGCAACAAGTTGTGGCCGAGTTTATTATTTGAGTGACTAAGTCTTATGAACGTTGTCTTCTCCATGTTCAAAACTAATCCATTTGAAGAGAACCATTCCTCAGATATTTTGATTTCTTCATTGGCCTTCAGGACTGTTGGCTCTACATTGCTCCCTGTAGCTATGAGGGATGTGTCGTCTGCATACATTATACAACTTTCATTAGAAATGTCATTGACGTATATCAGATATAACAGAGGACCTTAAACAGAGCCCTGGGGAACGCCTACATCATTTGTTGTTTTCAGCGAAGTGTGATTGTTTGCTTGAACATACTGCGTCCTGTTTGTCAGAACTTTTTATCCAATAATGCACCACTCCTCTGAAACCGTACAGTTCTAGTTTTGTTAAGAGAATTTCATGGTTTACAAGATCGAGTGCCTTGCTTGGATCCAGAAAGGTGCAAACCACTTTGTTACCTTTGTCTAACCCCTCGGAAAGTCTATTTACAAGCGTCACCATTGCATTTGAGGTTGATTTGCCTTTTTGAAACCCATACTGATTCGTGTTCATCAAATCAAACCTAGCCATGAATTCTGTTATTTCATTGGCAACATATTTTTCAAAAACCTTAGCAAAGGGACTCAATAGCGCAATGGGTCTGAAATTTTGAACATCTGTGACTCTTTCCGATTTGTGAATCGGAATAATTTTTGCTATTTTGAGGCATGATTGAAAAATAACTTCTCCAAGAGAACAATTTAAAAGATACGTTAATGGTTGTATCAACAGATTTGCACACTTTTTTATTAGATTTGTTGTTATATGATCATCTCCCTGTGAGTGGGAGCTCTTTAGATTTAGGATAATCATGCCTCAGCCACTGTATTCACCAGATTCGTCTCCCTGTGACTTTCCTTTGATCCCAAGATTAAAAAAAAGCAATGAAAGGACGGTGTTTCATGACGATTGAGGAGATAAAATCGAATCGCTGAGAGGGCTCAAGGATATCCCAAAAAGTGCATATCAGATGAAAAAATAATTATTTCTTGAGAAAAATGAAATAACAGACTTCGTATTGGTCAATAAGAACACCGTAGTCATGCCTCAGGCACCGTAATCATGTCTCGGCCATTGTATTCACCAGATTTGCCCCTATGCGACTGTTTTTCGTTCCCAAGATTGAAGAGACCCATGAAAAGACGGCGCACAAATTTCGACTTTTGAGAGTTGTCGATCGTACAGGACGTCAGCTGCTTAACGGAAAAACCAAGTTTTAATGAAGTGTTATTTGGAATGTTTTTGATGAATTAAATAGCATTGACATGAAATTCAGCTGACAAGAGTCAATTCTACTGCCAAATAGGACCAAGAATTTCGCTTGGAAATACTTTTGAACCCTTTATCGACGGTATTATTATAAAACTAAAAATATTCACACTAACTGCAATCAGTTTGTTACTCGTCAAGTGTAACATAAACAAATTATATTTTCACCATCACGGATAATATTTTGAATGCCCTCTAAAAAGTTACGAGCTCAGTTCATCTGAAGCAGAACAAACAACTCTTTGGACTACTCACCTTGTATTTCCTCTTTTGTCGTGTAGATAAGAAAGGAATAATAACTGCCGGCTTACTGTACCATGAAATGAGATATATACTTCGAGTAATCTCCCTCAAAGCCGGCATAGCCATACATCACGACGCAGTGATGTATACGAAAGAGACAAACAAGATTTGACGAAGTTATGAAGTTGCGGCTCTCATAGCATAACTCCCTCGAAAGGATTTTTGTTCCGTCCTAGCCAAGCATCTCTGTATTAGCTTGATTGAAGTCGTAAGTTTCACCTCTGGAGTTCGCGGGATTGGAGTTGGCGTGAGGACTTCTGCTGGAAATATGTTATGTATGGCCAGAACACAACTTGAGAGACTCTATACTCTTGGTTATTCTTGAAAGATATTGGGGAACAAAGTACATCCTTCAAGGCGAGGAAAGGAAAATGGAGATCTGAAGGAAAAAATCGAAATCAAAGTTATTTATAACATATAGATGACGATGGAGTTTCAATTGGCATGATCAATGGGAATCAATAAAAGTATCAACTAAATCTGCTTTATTTTCAGGTAACAACAATTATTGAGTTAGCCGGTGCGTGAAGACGGGAAGAACTAATAAAAATGTCGATTGATCTAATAAACGACAAGAAAGACATGTTGCTTGTGGAAATACTAGAGTTCCAAACAGATATTGAGAAAAAATTTGTTGTATTTGGATGAAAAAACCTGCTGTTGTATGGCGATATACAAGGTTTTTCACGACGAGTGTTCGTTAGGAATATATGGAAGAAATAAAAACTTGAAATTTTGTGTTATGTAGTGGGTTTTACAAAATGGCCTTCTCAACTAAACTATTTTCAACTTCGGGTCTCCTTCCGTTATACCGGAAGTTGGGGGCAACTTTCTCATTTCAAATAGAACACCCTGTATTTTATTACATTTTTGAATTTCTCAGCACATTTTAGGTCCACTTTGTATAACAAAGCCTCCAACCAAATTTGTTAGTTTTCGAGATATTAATTTTTTTTGAAAAATTTGACAGTTACCTACAGCACCACTCCGAAAGAATCATAACTCATAGACAGTAACAGTTGAAAATGTGAAATTTCACAGAATCATACCTTGAGCATCAAGTCATGAACAGGTCCATCGAATTTTTGAAAATAATTTACAGGGTGGTCGAAATTTCCACCTAAAACATAACATCGAGAAAACTGATGAAACACGATTTTTTCAAATGGAAACCAAACACTATTCTATTATTTTTAGATACCACGAAAAAAGAGATATCAAATTCATGAAGAATGTCCTATACCTAAAATACACCCCTGGCAAGATATATCCGATTTTGGGAAATTTAAATGTAAATCATTCGATGCAATTCTATCTTTTTACATCCTTTTTTTGTATCAAGATGGAGTAGTAGAAAGCCAAAAACTTTCTTTCCCAAAAATTAATCACTCCTAAAAATATAACCCCTTCAATTCAAATTACGTTTTTACTTACCGAAAGCTCGTCCGCGCTCGATGAGCTTAGTTTAGTCGGTCGCGCTGGCCAAACTCCATGCGATATTCAAATCGGGGTTGCCGTGAATCAGTTGATTGCTATCGCAGTAGATCTTGCCCGAATGTGGTGAATGTTCGACATCGACGTTTTTTGTTCTGATGCTGATCGGTGCCTTGCTTGGAGGATATTACTCGTATTTTTTTTAGTAGAAGGTAAGCCATTGATTATTTTGGGAGATATGCTAAATTGATATTTTGGTTAGATGTTGTGAATACAGTAAGGTGGAAAGCCTCTTGAGTATACTAGATCGTGCTTTGGAGGGAAGCGAGTGTGCAAAATGTGAGGACCGAATTCCATCAATAATAATAATAAATAGTCGTAATTTTTTTTCTGTACATAAAATAGGCAAAGTTTAGCCTAAGGCTATTCTTACACTGAACCGTGTTAGGAATCACACGTTAAAAGGTAAGACCTCGTTAATCCTTAGCTCGCACAAGTTTCGACTTCTGAGGGTTGTCGTTCGTAGGGGTGCGACAGCTGGTTAACGGAAAAACAATTTTTTTTTTTAAACCTAAATTGTACAATTGTATAAATGTATTACAGAATCATTCTTATTGAAATACAAAATATATACATGAAGTAGTAATCCATAATATAATTATCAAAACCTATAAAACAGTAAATAATTTGTAAATTTATCCTGGCTGTTGAAGAAAATTGATTTTCAAACGGCATTGAAACTGATATTCAGATAAATGAAGCCAATTGATGAGGAATGAATTGTGTATTTTGACGGCTAAATAGGTGAAACATTTCTGAAATAGGTGATGTGGTACATGCAAATGATATTTGTTTCTTACATCTGATGAATGAAGAATCGACCTAGGTATTCGTTTTCTGTATAGAGTCAGTAATAAACAAAAATTATATTGTCTGTGGTTTGGACATTGTTAGCCATTTCAATTCAGTGATCTACTTGGAGTGAAAATATAAATCGACAATAGAAATTTTGATCGTACTCTTGAAGATGATCACTTGGTGATCGAAACGAGGTGTCAAAATAGCGGTTTGGTATTGGGAAAAAACTCCAGTAATATTCATCAGAAATTTTGTACTTTCTGAATGCGATTTCGCTCAAATTTTGTGAGTAGATTTCCATAGACAATATGTCTATAACTGAATCTCGAAAAAACTAAAGTTTCAGTGAGAAATTTACGTAATAATCGATTCAAGCAATGCCTATGGACATAAATCAACCTGAAACTATTCCAGCTTCAATGCTTCAATGAAATTGACGGGCAGAATTCTATTAGTCAACTAAGATTCGGACTTAACACTGTGGAGTGTCGGTTCCGAGAGCGAATTCTCCCTGTTTCCGATGAAACTGAAGGCCGTACAGGAAATAACATTTCTTGGTTTTGTCTTCATTTCCCTGCTGTTTGTTCTGTCCCATCCGGTAGACTCATCACCTGGCCAGGTGTGAAAAAAGTACTCCGACACCTTCTGCATACTGACTGTAGGATCGACCGGACTGGTTCCACATTCTCGAACGCAATCATTGCTGATTACCGCAAAACGAATACCGGCGCCTCTCCATCTTTCATCATTAAGTGCTAAAGTTCTATAATAAATTACGTGACAACGTGTGAGTACGAAGAATTTCCCTCAAGAGCAATAATCTCGAGTTCACTGTTGATTCAGCGATACACGAACAGGGGCGTAGGTATTTTGGTTTTGACATAAATAGCTCAGCCTGAGAATAATACAGAATTGATTCTCACGCAAATGAAGATTTTATCAGAGAGAAAACTGAAATAGATAACAAAACATGTTTAATATTACTGGAGTTTTTCCCAACACCAAATCGTTATTTTTTAACACTTCGACACGTGTTTCGATCACCAAGTGATCATCCTCAAAGGGGAAGATTAAAACTAGAAACCAATGCGAGCTAACCTATTATTATGTCATCTACAATACCCCTCGAGAAACCGTTAGTGGCTGCTATTTCCTGTATTGTACGTCTTTCTTTTGTGAACCTATCATATGTTAGAGAGAAAGTCAAAAGTCGATGCACTAAAAAATTCAACCTAGCACGTTTGTGCTGTCCACAGTGATGTGAACTGTCAGGAATATGTTGTGCTTGTTTCTTTTCAAAATATAACGTATTCTAACCCTCCATATTGGCTCCTCATTACCAAAACGTCAAGAAATGGTAGTTGTTCCTTATTTTCTAACTCATACGTGAATTTTATTGATGGACATCTATTATTTAAAATGGAAACAAAGTCGTCAATATTCGATTTTTTGGTATTGAATAGCGCGAAAATATCATCCACATACCTTAGCTAAATCCTAGCCAAAACAAGTTATGAAACCTAACGATTTAGGAAATAATTATCTTCTTTCCAACCATAGCACTGAAATACAAGACTGATATCTACCCAGGATTTTAGTTCTGTGTTATAGGCGCATAAGGGGGCAGTTACACTGGATGCAAATTAGTAGTCCGAATACGTCAGTTGAGCTACGCCTGAAGGAGCTATTGTATAGCGAAACACGTGTTGCTTTTTTGTAAAATTGTTTAGTGAAAATCCTATGATGTTTGTTTGAAAGTGGTTTCACCCAAGTTACTTCTCGACATTTCTATTGTTAGTAAACACAATCGTCTTCAGGTGATGAGTTCGACTATTCCTCTATTCAGCGCTTTCACCTATCCCCTCTCTTCGCTTCACTGGTTTAGCAGGAGTTTACCGATTTCTGGTCGAATACTGGTTTCCAAATGTTGACTATCTCTACGCTGGCTTGACTGAATGCGTCGTGGGGCGAAATATACGCAGCTTCTCTGAACTTCTTCTTGAACCACTATTGCTCCATGTGCATTATCTCAGCTTAGGACCACTTGATATTATGTGAATTTATTTTTGCAATATTTTGAAGCAGTGCAAATTGAAAAAAAATGCACTGCACTTTCAATACAAAAGAGCTTCATTAAACAGACAACTAGAAAGAATAAGACAACATACAATTCGAGTACTTTGAAATGAAATGAAAAATTTTAAATGGCACTTTGATATACTGACATAGTGACAACTCCACAACAGTAAATTTACTTGCCCAAAGGTATAATGACTGACATCATTTCATACCAATAAACATATGTATGACAAAGCTGTGGCGTGAGTGAGGAAAAACATCTTTATAAATGTCCTGTTCGACAATATGAATGGTGACTTATTTATTTCACCGACTCCAGTAAATCTTATTTGAGCTGCATCAGTTTGTACTGAATTACTTAAACTAAATATAAAGTGTTTTTTGGAGAATTTACACACCGCATTCTTCAGTATTTTTTTTTAAATTCACATTAATTCAGCCCCCAACCTAACCTTCCAGTTGAGTGATAGAAAATATATAGTATTCGGCTCCCAAGAAATGACATTTCTCTTTCGTTGATTTGAATACCATGATTTTAGATATCGATTACATAAAATAACAATTTTTGCCCAAGAAAAACATTTTTCCATTCAACATCCCGTATAGAAATTGTCTCTTTTAGAAGAAACTTTTTCTCTGTATAAAACCACTTCACTAAATATTTACCTGTTGACTAAGCAATCGCTGTGGAGCTATTCGTTTCTTCTCTTTCTTCTCGACTAGGTTATATGCGGAAAAATAAAAAACGCACCTTGTAACAGGAAAAGCGCCATTAAAATGACATGAAGGTATCAAGAACCTTTGATAATCTCCTTGGATAATTTATTCCTTATCTAGCTGTTATTTATAGCCCTCGTTCGCTAGAGGTCGAATACAGAGAGAAATAAGTATGGTGTTACATGATGAATGTCTTCAAAAATCAAGCTGAAAGCTAAAAGTTACTCAACAACAGTTGAGTGATTACGGTGAATACGGTTACTGAATTTAATTTTAACTATATAGAATTGCAGAATTCCATCGTTCAGCAGTGTTGAATCTCGCGAAGACTGCAATTCATTCTATTTTGCAGGAATACTTCATACAATATCCGTAGTGTTATTAATCAAGAAAGCGGTTGTTTGTCGGCTGTCACTATGTAGAGATGGTGGGGGAAGCGAATGTTTCGAATGTCAAGCCTTAATAAGTATGTCGTATGTTTTTGCAATACAGTCACCAGATTTGGTTTGATGTTCTTTCAGAGTGTCGGCACACAATATGCTTTTTCCTGCTTGTAGAAGTAGTCCAGTACTGATGGATAGTACCACTCCACAACCTATCTGTAGTTCATCACTCGATTGATTTCAAGAAGGTATTGCTACAGGAAGATGAAGTTTTCTTCATTGCTTGAAGTCGCCATCTTGGTTGGTGGAATGTGCGTCGAGAAGATCATTACATTTCTGTTGATTGGGAAAGCTTTAAAGGAAGAAACAAACAGGTTGCATTAACTGAAAATAATCAGAATATATTCAAACATGAGAAAGATTAGAATCTGATTTTCGATCTAGAAGAAGCAAATGAAAAAGTCATTAATGAATATGAATACATCGATGGCACTCTTTCATAATCTTAGAAAAAGCTGTTGGTAACAACCAAAAAAAAAAGACATATGGACAAAATTTGAGAGAATATAAATAAAACAACAAAAACAGCAATGAAATTTATGAAGATGTATTGAAAACATACTGTGGACAATTGTTTTCAAACTAGCATGTGTGCTGAGTCCGTTGAAATATCATTGATATTCGTTGAAATCATTGAAATCATAGGAGATTCTGAAGAAATGGCGCGATGATATTTTAGGGAATCGAAAAATATCACCTGATGGAAACAACAATAGAATAAGTACAAATTATGAATACCAGATATTTATTCTGAAGAAAGAGAGTTAATATACAAGATATTTTTAAAAAAAGAAAAGAAACATTCATACAAATGGCTCATTTCAGAAAACTTACAATACAAATTAATTGTAAGAAGTATAGTTTGATAAAACTTGAATGTCCTCAGAAAATATTTGGTTGATAATTCAAAATGTCCAAGTACATAATTTTCAAAAGACTTTTGCTTCTCCTTTGAACACGATCCAGCTGCCCGTGGAAGGCACAGTCTACTTGCCTTACATAAACTAAATCACGGACCGTATTGGTAAACTGTCATAACATTAAGACCACTTACAGGCCAACTAATCAACTTCGCAGCATCCGCCGGTTTTCACAAGATTCCCTGTTCCTGTGGC